CTGAAAGCCTGGATGACATGATGTCATCATAACAGAAATTGATGTAATGGGTAATGCATTCTGTTAGGCCGTCAATGTCTTCCCCATACTCCTCACAGAACATATCCCAATCTGTTGTCTCAAAACAGCACCTCAGGGCTTCATCAGCCTCAGGATACCAGCCTCTTGATGTTCTGGTGGTGACAGGCAGCCTCTTGGCAGCTGGGGTGTAGGAGGGAGAGAGATGTAGCATGTCGTTTTACGAGTGTTTATGTGCAGTTGATGAGAATCACATCAGTCCACAAAACTGTCCACAGCAGCTCTGTGGCTACTTGGGTTCAAATTATTTGTGAGTAGACTGAGGGTAACATTATCATCTGAGAATTTCAATTTGTTTAGCTGGGTGCTAACACACCCAGTGGTTAGAGCTTAATAAAGATCACTCACATTTAAACCAAGCCAATGCTGAAGTGTACAATCCTGCAGTTCCTGGAGTGTCCACTAGAGGCTGGCTGCAGAAGCACAGGAAGTCACATACACACCCATTCTAAAAAGCCTGTTTTTACAGCAGAGATGAACATGTTTACAGCCTGGTTCAAAAAACAAAATAGGTGTGATTAGCTCATGTCTGGATGGACACACACTGTACGGGGGGTGAATGTTTTGATGACTCATCAGTTTTGATTTGATGAAGGATAATAGTTATTCACAATAAGGCGTGTAGCTGACCTGATTGACAGGTGGGCGCGGTGTAACGGTTTGTCAGGAGGTTTAAAACCCGCCTCAGCTCCAGCTCTCAGCCTGTCGTTAGGTTGACTGAAAGTTAGACTGAGACAGCATTTCCAGCATGGAGACCGCCATCGATGGGACTCCAGCGCCCCCTGCAGGAACAGACGGGGGAGATATATATATATATATATATACAGTTTATGTATATATTTACATATTTCTATATTTGAAGTTCTTGTTCTGAGGTATTTATGTTGTTTTTAATCTCTTCATGGTCTTATCTTCTCTCAGTGGTCAGATAAAGATCTCTGAGACAGACAGACGCTTCCTGAACACAAAGAATGAAACTGATTCTGCGGCTCGAGAGACGACGTTCATCTGTTTTCTTACCACAGACAATAAACAAACAAACAAACAAATCTTTGTCTTTAAGAATCAGACAAAGCATAAACTAAAAACATTTCCTTTAAATGAACTCTTGTGACGTCGTTTGAGGCAAAGTTTGAAACTTTCTCTGCAAATGATTCTCGTTGTTCATTTTGAGGCAACTCTTGTTTACAACGATCTGACTTATAGAAGTTTCCAGCGTGCAGTCTTTGATGAATCAGAGGCGCTGCTAGTCAACAGGCAAGGCAGGCAGCTGCTCGGGGGCCAGTAGGGGGCAGCAGCTCAAAATGTGCAAATTTTGCATTGACAGAAGGAAACCTCCCTAAGGGGGCCCTGTCTGACAGCACTCCCGCTCCATCACCTGCTAAGCATCTCATGCATTCTGCAGTGAAAACCAAAGTCTGTCAATGAATGATGAATGGCGGTGCGAGGGCCGCCGTGCACCTGTCTGATGAAACACTGAAGAAACGATCGTTCTTTAAACGTATCGAACATTTGACTTCAAATCAACGTCATCTGACCTCTGCTTTTACAACTTTCTAACCGTAACTAAATGAACTGCTTTCTATTCACAACATGAAGAATCATCTGAGGCTAAATATATATTTTCAAGAGTTCCTCTCTGCGGCCGCTTTCTGCAGAAGCAGCGGTGCAGACTTTACAGACGTGCCAAATGTCACTTCCTCTCCCCGGCTGCAACTTCTGCAACAGATGCTGCTGAGTAACACTGAAACACACACACACACACACCACAGAAACAGTGTTGGGTCTGAATATGACTCGAGTGTCTCTCTCGATGTCATGCTTTCCATCTCTGTTTGTCGTTGCTGCAGTGCCCTTTAGTACGGCAGCAGGCTGCCCCCTCAACGCCCCCCCTCAATGCCCCCCCCTTAATGCCACCCCCCCCCCCAGCTCCAAGACACAAAAACAAGGAGAGCAAGTGTCATCATGTCATCGTCTGTCACTGCTCTCTCTTTAGGTCGGGTGTTCTGTGAGTCCTTCAGACTGGAACCAGAATCATCCAGAACACAGACTCTCTTCTGTGTCTTTATACCGGTGTTAAACATCATGTTAGTGAGTCTGTAGTTACCACGGTAACTCCTACATTTCTGCACCCTCAATTCAATGTGCAACAACAAACGATAAAGAAAGTGATCAAGTGACTCAGATCGTGTTTATTCCATCCAGGAGTTCACGGCGGTCCGCGTGCGGGACGGGACACTTTACAGCTACGCTTCTTTTCAATGCTGAAGCCCGTCACTGTAGCTGCACCCCCTTTAATCTCAGATGCACCCCAAGCCCCCGGGTCTACCTGGCTGCTCTCTGGAGAGTTTGCATGAAGCATTGATAACGGCCGCCGTATGGCTGACACGTCTCCGTTCATTTTTACTGAATGTTTTATATTTGAGTTTATTTTCCGACCAGACACGGAGCGAGGAGGACGAGGGGACAAGACACGACCTGTAGGAGACAAAACTACGGGGAATATCAAACATTTAGAAAAGAGTGCCGGTGACACCGACAGACAACTTGAGCACCTCTGAGGCTACAAAATAAAAGACTTTAAAAAGATTAGACGATATCATCTGAGAATTCTGCAAACACTTCACATCTGAATCTGTCTTCATGGCTTTAAAATGTATCAGCCCTGGTAACAAGGAAGCAACCGCACCCTGTCAAAATAAAGTTACAAAATAAAAGTGTTTTCTTGAAACAATCATCTGAATCCACGATGAGATCATGTTTGACACGGTGCAGGTTGTGAAGTCCCTCAAAGACCACACTAACAAAACTCTGCTCTCCAGATGCTGCAGGGGGAAGCACAGCGTAGACTTTCTTAGAAGTCACAACCTCGCAGAGCATTCAGGGTGCATTGTGGGTAAGAGCGGCACTTACCGTAAAAGAGAGCTACCTTCTGTTTACAAGAAGTGATGTCACAGGATGTGAGGTCACAGCTAAGGGGGTTGGGGGTCTGAGTGAGGAGGATCGTGGTCTCTGAGCTGCGGCTCATTTAACATTTTCACTCAGTTGTTATCATTACTGGGTTTTAAATTCAGACACAGTCAGTTTCTAACATTTTCACTTCACAGATATTTTTAACTCATTGAAACAAAAGTTTTGACTGAATATTCTTTAAAATCAGAATTCTTCTCCTCTCTTTTCAACACCAAACGTTCGTCCCTGTCCCGGCTGTAAGCAACCAAAACATTACACCGTGTTAACAACGATGATTTGTCTACGTCTATAATTTTCATTTTTCACCCATGTATGCTGGTAGATTACCCACAAGTGATTTATAAATAAATAGCAGCCAATGCCGTTCACGTCTAACTGTTAGTGAAGGCCAATCAACTTTATGTTACTGGATGCAATGATGAGTGGAATATTTGTCACCAGTGATAAATCTGAGGGCGGAGTGATAAACTGTGTCTAATGATTTTAGGGTGGAGGCAGAAGCATGTCTATAAATGACATCCCCGTAGTCCAGAACAGATAGGAAGATGGCTTCAATTATTCGCTTTCTACTCACTAAGGGGAAGTTCACTTTGTTTCTGTACAAGTATCCAATTCTCTGTCGTAGTTTAGTGCTTAATGTATCAATGTGAAATTTAAATGAAAGGGATTGATCCAACCAGATGCCAAGATATTTATAATGAGGTACTCTTTCAATATTGTGACCTTCCAGAGTTGTTATATGCAAGTCATTGTCTGTGGTATTTCTGGCTCATGTAAAGAGCATGTATTTAGTTTTATCTGCATTCAATAATAATTTTAAGTTTTCAATTAAAAATTTTCAATTAATTATTTTTTTTAATGAAATAAGATTGTTTCTGAGGCGGTTGCTGTTTTAACCAATAGAAAAGCATCACTAAAGCACCACGAGTCAAAGAGAAAGAAAACAAAAGAAGCATCTTGAATTATTTGGAAACTTTGCATTTAAGCAGACAAACATGTTGTGTGGAGTTCCCCAAGGCTCGATGATGGGGCCTTGTTTTTTTTTCATTTACAAAGTTACATTTAAGAAGAAGAGGGATCATTTGCAATGCATCATGGGATGTGTTGAGCTCTATGGATGTGGGTGCTCGGGTCAATTTAAAAATCCCTCACAATTGGTCTTCACCAAAACAACCTCCATGTCAGAAATCTTGGTTTTGAATCTGAGCTTAACTTTGAGTGCCAAAGTGCACCAACAAAAACACATCAGGAAACAGGAAGTGCAATTAATTCAGATTTATTCAGTTGCATGTGCCAATCAATAAATTATCACAATCATACAATAACAAAATAAATTATCCTCTCAGTCACAGCAGAATGGTTCACTTTTAAATTAAACTCTTTAAATACACAACAAATAAATATAATAAATCAAACATTACACCCTCGAGTGCTGGACGACCTGTCAGCTTTACACTGTAAACATCTCTGTCAGCTCTTAGAGAACTACAGAAGGACTGGTGTGGAGTTGGACATTCATTTCACATATTTAAAATGTGAAGATTATAAAATACAGAACGAAGGATTAACATAAAGAACCATGTGCGTTATGAACACGGACAAACTAGTTGAAACAGGAACATGCTGTTTGCCAAAACTCAGTAAAGACTAAATTGAAGAAAAATGAACGCAGTCTTTATATTCTGAAAACTCTTCCAGTGTTTCTGAACATATATTTGCGTAACCTGAGTGTCTACTGACCCACAACATGTGAAATAAACCATCCAGTCCTTTGTTTGTGGTCTGCATAAGTCTCGCTCGTTGCATTTAAAGAGACACACACACCAAAACGGAGCGTTCTGAGAGAGCTGGTTTATACAGGGTCACAAACCTCCTCTGGTGCTTGATTCATGTTATATTTTGATCAAAGCACAGCACAGATGTTTCATTTAGACCACAGAGGGACTGTTTGAAAAGATGGAGGAGGGGACTGTTTGAAAAGATGGAGGAGGGGGATGATATGTCCTCTTTAAACTAGTTTGCTGGGAACCTCCACGGGTAAAATATTATAAATATCAAGTTTGAATGGCGGAAACAGGCCACCGTAGTTTTGGTAACTGATTAAGGATCCAAGCTGATATCTCAGACGGACAATATCGACATTTAATTCTGACTTTTCATCTCAACAAATCAGCGGCTTAGTAATCAAAAATCAAGAAATCAAGTATTCCCAGGTCACATCCTGTGTTTGAGGAGGCGAGTTAGAAACCGATCAAACCTTCCAAGTTTCAAACATCAGACTTGGTTAAAAAAAAAAAAAAAATGTACAAAGTTATCGGAGCTATGGGTCGGAGGCTGCTGGTTAAACATCATCGTCATAAATATATATTAAATTAACCCTTAATTAACCATTAAATATAAATGTTCTTTGATCCGTTAAAAGCTTCTAATTAAATATTCCACATTTTACTGTTTTTAAAATATCTTAGTTATGTCGCCGTCGTTACTCTGCCTCTTTCTGTTTCGGGCTCAGGGACGATTTTTGGTCCTCCGTGCTTGCCTTCTCCGCCGCCTCTGCTTAATGCGGTCGTCAGACAAGGAGCTCGCCGCCTCATACAGCCATGGTAGTTCCCACAATGCTTTGCTCTGGATGACCTCCTCCTCCACCTAGCAGAGAGGAAAACACAGAGGGTGAATACGTTTATTTAAAACATGATGTAAGATCTGAACATGTAGGAGGAGCCTCTCCTGAACATCAGGGCCACGCCCCTCTGTGCGTCTCTACCTTGACGTGTTTGAGCGCCTGCAGACTCTGCAGAAGCTTCCCCTCCTCCTGGAAGCTGTGCCTCCTCAGGTCCTGGACCTTCTTCAGGATGCAGCTCAGCTCCACCCTGACATCTTTGTTGGTCCCCTTCTCAGCATCACAGGGGTTAGGGAGCTCTGCTGTCTGAGGAGCCGGCAGCTGCTTCAACATGTGACCGAGGAGCTTCTCATACGCCTCCAACACGCCGCCCATATACACCTTCTGTGCCTGGAGAGAGAAACACAGAGGGCTCAATGCTGGAGAAACTTAGAACGGTTTACTGATCTGCAGATTCTATCTGGGAAAAAGAGTTTCAAGTCACTACGGGATGATTTTAATAACATAGAAGAAGACGTTTGAAATATTTGAATAAATGGTGAACGAGTCGTGAGTTTGAAGTTTCTAAACTCAATGGAAGAAAACATTGTGGTTACCCACATGAGACGAGAGGAAACCTTAAAGGGGAACATGTCGATCATCAAAGTCAAAGTCTGTCATTCACTGTTCACACATCAGCTTTCAAAAAGTTCTTTGGACGCACTCGCAGAGGGTCAGAGCTCCACGTTATATCATGGCATTCATTTCAAGACGTACGGTAACGAAAAGAAGGCGTCTGAACGTTTAGTCGATCTCAGATGAGTCACATGAAGAAACCAGAAATGATGACCTTTAACACCTTTGTTGTCGAGGTAATGGAAAAACACACAACAGGAAAACCCAGAGGAGGTGTGTGTGTGTGTGTGTGTGTGTGTGTGTGTTGTTAGACCAATCAGCAACATGAAGCTGAAGTGTAAAATCCTGCAGTTCCTGGAGTGTCCACTAGAGGCTGGCTGCAGGAGCACAGGAAGTCACATACACACCCATTCATGTCTACAGTGTGTAGACTAGACTTATAGAATCTATGAGCACGGCCAACAAAAGAATCTTTGAGATCCTCGCTCCTGGACGGCAACGAGTTATTTAAAGACCTCAACCAGAAAGTTCAGGTAAATAATCACGTGATGTTAGCACGTTAGCACGTTAGCACGTAACAACAGTGCAGAAAGTTTTAATCTGTGATGTTTCACACTTTGTGTTTTTTTTTCTAATGAAAGTCTCTGCGTCTGTTTCTGCCTCTTCTTCCGGTCGAGGGTAACGGAGGCTTGAATCAGAAAACTGAGGGGCACAACTGAACCTTTTTTCAAAGTCTTAAAAAGAAGAATGCAGCATGTTATCTGTTGTCGCGGTCGTGCAGCACCTCAACGTTTTCAATCAGAACATGTCAAATGACTTTCAGACTTAATGGGTAGCGAACAGCAAACACTGAGCATGAGGGGGAACCGGAGGTCTCCAGGTCAAACTGATCCTGAGTGAGTCGGGATCAAGACACAGCTGGAACTATTTCTTCAGAGCCATCAATGTCCACCATTACTTTTAGGTTTCCAGGTTCTGCTCGCCGTCTGCATCCTGTAACCACCATCTGGTTTGGCTCCTTTTAACTACATCGACTCTTTATGCTAAGCTAAGCTAATCACCTCCAGCCACTGATCTGTCGGAACTTGACTGCATGGTCATGTGACACCTGTGAAATCTGTCTGACACCTTCACATACACAAACTGACCACAGAGTGTTTGTTGAGCTTAAATGGTGAGAATGAATCCGTTAACTTTGATTTACCTCCATCCTGCCGCTCAGAGGATCTCTGGAGAAGACGGGCCTTCTGTTGAATCGCTCTGCAGGAGAAATGTTCTGCAAGAAATACAAACAAGAAACATGTCAAACATCTGTCTCCCTTCAAAACACAAGACTGAGGAATACTAATCCTAAAGAATCACTGAAGAGCATGAACAGTGGTGCATTCAAGGACAATCAGACATTGTGGATGTCACAGTAGAAAAATTAAGGAAAGCATTTTCAGAGACTCAAAAGTACAAATAAGAATCATACTTAATATGAACATGTGTGCTCCTGTGTTAGGAAGAAGTCACATTTTATTGTGGTGTGTTCAAGGACAGTCAGACATTGGGATTTTTGAGAGTTTCTGTTGATGTGTTCCTTTACGCAACACAAACAAAGATTGTAAACGACTTTAAAAAGGGGGATTACGTTTTTATGAACCTTTCTAAACTTTTTAGCAAACGTATTTGTACTGGTGCATTCATGGACAATCTGACATTTAAGCGACATTGTTGTTCTGTCAGTTATCATTATAATCACAAACACGGGGCAAGGCTCTGCGTTTGTTATTTTGCACGATTTTTCAATCTTTATTGATGCATTCAAGGAAACTCCGACAATATAAAATCAATCTGCAAATGAAGTCTGGAAGTTAAAGATATCAACGTTACATTTAATTTAACTTTTCACTTTTGGTCTCTAAAATCTGCCCCTGAACGCACCGTCATGGTCAGCATCCCTGCTCTTCTCTGCATGACTACAGAACATTTCTATTTAAATAAACGTGTCTTACTTTAATGCAGAGTGAAGGATTTTATGATATTTGTTGTTAAACGAGTCAAAAAGCTCAAGAGGAGCCGTACTGGAAAATGTACACAAAGTGTGTGTGTGTGTGTGTGTGTGTGTTTGTGTGTGTGTGTCTGTGTGTCTGTGTGTGTGTGTGTGTGTGTGTGTGTGTGTGTGTGTGTGTGTGTGTGTGTGTGTGTGTGTGTGTGTGTGTGTGTGTGTCTGTGTGTCTGTGTGTCTGTGTGTCTGTGTGTGTGTTTGTGTGTGTGTGTGTTTGTGTGTCTGTGTGTTTGTGGTGAGAGCATCAGCGTGTGAACGTACCAGGAGGAAACAGAAAGCTTGTACCTGAAGTACTGCACTGGTCATACTGGTTACATGTTTGAATAAAGTGAAGTGTGTACTCACATAGTGCTGCAGGAGGCTCTGGAAGGTTCTGTTCATCTCTACAGGGATGTACGACCCCCTGACCTGACAGACAGCCAGACACAGGGACAGACAGACCACTGCCCTCGCCGTTGAAAACATCTTGTCACCACTTGAATATTACGATATGTCGCCGGTTCGATTCCTGATTGAGTCCGGGCCCGCTGCTTTCAATCCCTGCCAGAGCAAATCTGAGCTGGGAAAAGGCTGACTGGAGGCTGTGAGGGTCCGAGTGTCTCTGTCCCTGAAGCTGGTTCAAACTGTTTGACTTCTCAAAGAGCTTCGTATTTATAACTCTGAAAGCGAGCGAGGCAAAGTGGCAGAGAGACACAGACGCACAGCGGGGAAAGAGAGAGAGAGAGCGATGATCTAGGTGTGAAAAGTGTGGTTTGTCTAGTTTCCTTTAAATCACCAAACTTCATAGAAGCGGGTGAGGGGTCTCCCACACATGTGTGTCAAACAGCCATCATCCGCCCTCTGCAGAAATTCACCTACCATATGTTTTAATGAAATTGGTGGTTACACTGGTCATACTGGGAGCTCTGATAGAGGCCTGTGTTTCATGCAACTCGAAGCAGTGCACTGATGTTCAGATCAGCTGGAAGTCCATGAAAAGGGAAACATAACTAATTAACTTCGCCCTCACGGCTGCTGATGGAGCGCCATCAGAGACCACTAAAACGTCATTATCCCACCGGGTCCCCCTGAAAATGTAAATATGATGCAGCCACGAGAAATGTTAAAAAAGTTGTTTTATCGCTGACAGGCACAGAGTCTGCTAATATCAAGAAATACAGATTTTTATTTACTGAATGTAAAGGCCTTTAGGTGCATTTTGAGATAATCAGGTCTCATTACAACCAATCAGGTGTCTCTTCAAGACATTCTGGACAGGAAACAGTTTAATTTCAATGATTGAAGTAGCATTACAAAGTAAAACATTTAATCTTTGACTCTAATCAAACGTTCATGAATATGTGTCTTATTTTGAAAGTTTTAAATGTGCTTTCATCAATAAGATCAAAATGAGAAAAAAACAGTTGATGGGAAACGAAGGATTAAGAAACTGCTAAACAGATTTCATATTCTTAGAAACAATAATGTCGGAGTATTGGCTTCACTTTAGTTTGTTCATTATCATTCATTCAAACATTTCAGAATTTCATCACTTGACTGACAGGAAATAATGTCATGTAGCTGACACCCCAGCTGGGTGTGAGGTGTTTCTACCGAGGGAGCATTCCCTCGTTTCGCTTAAAGGAAACACTAACACGAGCCTTTTCTTGTTACTCAACTATTAATACACACAGGGCAGAAACTAAGAGTTCATCAAAATCTGCCCAGACTGTGAAAGGTGAGAAATACCTGGGCAGCTACATGACAGGAAAGAGAAACTAAAGAAGAAATCAGGGCGGGCCTGCGCTTCACAGAAAAGGTTTTACTGTAAACTTCAGAAAGCTCCACGACGTCTATACTGTACACCCGGACGTCCACGACGTCTATACTGTACACCCGGACGTCCACGACGTCTATACTGTACACCCGGACGTCCACGACGTCTATACTGTACACCCGGACGTCCACGACGTCTATACTGTACACACCGCCGACATGTCGGGTCGTAAAGTTTGTTAAAGGTGACGAGATTTAATTGAGAAAAACTCAAAGGGGGCGGAGTAACCAAATGTTTAACTTTACCTTCAGGCTCCTCCCTCCATCGAGCCCCCCTCCCCTATCAGAGGACATCTGACATGCTCGCACGCTGTTCTTCACAAATTACAGACATGGTGGATTCACGATCAGTCTGCATACATGAGACACGCCCACTATGCTGTGGGAAATGCATTCTCAGAACCAGAACCAGAACCAGAACCAGAACCAGAGAGCCGAAGAGTCAGAGACTGAATAAAGGAAACCTGTCGACTGATAAATATGAATGTTTGAAGCCTGAGTGAGTGTGTGAGTGTATTTCCAACATGGCGACCCCCATCGTTTGGCTTTAAAGCGCCTCTTTAGAAATTAATGTGTGACGTCACCGAGAGTACGTCCATGTTTCATACAGTCCATGGTTTAAGCCCGACTCTGGAACAACCAGCGTACACCCAGAGTCCTCTGACCTCCGCTTCAAAACTGAAACTGAATTTAGAGTCGAGCTCAGCAGGAAGGAGCCGAAACAATGCAGGAAACAAGAAGACAAACAGGAAGAGGGCAGGTAGAGGCTCAGGTGTTAAAGCACTCGGGTATCCCCTGCTTACACACACACACACACACACACACACACAACCACAGGAAGACGTGTCTGTCTCTTTCTAACATCACTGATTGTCTCCTGAAATTCTGCTGAAGTTCTTCTAAATCGCTCAGTAAAAGTTTAAACAGGTAAACAGGTAAACAGGTAAACAGGTAAAATCCAGGCAAGAACCACAATGAGAGACAAAACTCAAACAACCGGTCCTGGACTTTTAAAGTCCGGCAGGAAGAGTCCTTCTGAATCCTTCCTTGAGTCCTTCTTGACACTTTGGATGTGTGAAGCACTTTGAACGTGCGACATAAATGAACATGACTTTGACTTGAGCGCTGTACTTCTGCTCCTCCTGATCCCAGACCTCCTTCTCGTCCTGAGGAGGAGGAAACGTGGTAAAACAGGCCACGCCCCCCTGCACACCTGTGTCAATCCTGGCTGCTGCACCTCGCCTGACCAAACCAATGTCAGCGCCCCCGTTAGCGCCCTGTGCTACGCTCACGCTTCACATGGGCAGTCAGACCTCTCAGGAGTCCTGATACGACTTTTTAACACCTCTTTATGATCTGCAGTAACTCTGAGTTATAAATGAATCACACGCTTTGCTTTAGAGAACTTTGAACTTTTTCTTTATCTTTTAAAAACTAATACTACATCAAATACTCAAAGAGCGTTCATGAGCTGACAAACAGGAGGTGTTGTGACTTCATTTCTTTGTTACTCCAACAGTTCTTGAAGGTGTGAAGAGTCAAAAGGAAATCACAAACTTCATCTTTTCCAAACCTCAGATGGTGATTCACTGTTGGACCTTTTCCATTCTAAGCTAACGTAATGTTTTCTCTCCTCAGAGGCAGAAAAGTCCTGTGGTGGTCGGAGGGGAAACCCCTCAGACCGGCAGACAGGTAGAGACAGATAGAGACAGGTAGAGACAGGTAGAGACAGGTAGAGACAGGTAGAGACAGATAGAGACAGGTAGAGACAGGTAGAGACTGATAGAGACAGGTAGAGACAGGTAGAGACAGGTAGAGACTGATAGAGACAGGTAGAGACAGGTAGAGACTGATAGAGACAGGTAGAGACAGGTAGAGACAGGTAGAGACAGGTAGAGACTGATAGAGACAGGTAGAGACAGGTAGAGACCGGCAGACAGGTAGAGACAGATAGAGACAGGTAGAGACAAGTAGAGACAGGTAGAGACAGGTAGAGACAGGTAGAGACAGGTAGAGACAGATAGAGACTGATAGAGACAGATAGAGACAGGTAGAGACAGATAGAGACAGGTAGAGACAAGTAGAGACAGGTAGAGACAGATAGAGACAGGTAGAGACAAGTAGAGACAGGTAGAGACAGGTAGAGACAGGTAGAGACAGGTAGAGACAGGTAGAGACAGATAGAGACTGATAGAGACAGATAGAGACAGGTAGAGACAAGTAGAGACAGGTAGAGACAGATAGAGACAGGTAGAGACAAGTAGAGACAGGTAGAGACAGGTAGAGACAGGTAGAGACAGGTAGAGACAGATAGAGACTGATAGAGACAGATAGAGACAGATAGAGACAGATAGAGACAGGTAGAGACAGATAGAGACTGATAGAGACAGGTAGAGACAGGTAGAGACCGGCAGACAGGTAGAGACAGATAGAGACAGGTAGAGACAAGTAGAGACAGGTAGAGACAGGTAGAGACAGGTAGAGACAGGTAGAGACAGATAGAGACTGATAGAGACAGGTAGAGACAGATAGAGACAGGTAGAGACAGATAGAGACTGATCGAGACAGATAGAGACAGGTAGAGACAGGTAGAGACAAGTAGAGACAGGTAGAGACAGGTAGAGACAGGTAGAGACAGATAGAGACTGATAGAGACAGGTAGAGACAGATAGAGACAGGTAGAGACAGATAGAGACTGATAGAGACTGATAGAGACTGATAGAGACAGGTAGAGACAGATAGAGACTGATAGAGACAGGTAGAGACTGATAGAGACAGGTAGAGACAGATAGAGACAGGTAGAGACAGATAGAGACTGATCGAGACAGATAGAGACAGGTAGAGACAGGTAGAGACAGGTAGAGACAGGTAGAGACCGGCAGACAGGTAGAGACAGGTAGAGACAGGTAGAGACAGGTAGAGACAGATAGAGACAGGTAGAGACAGATAGAGACAGGTAGAGACAGGTAGAGACAGGTAGAGACAGGTAGAGACAGGTAGAGACAGATAGAGACTGATAGAGACAGATAGAGACAGGTAGAGACAGATAGAGACAGGTAGAGACAGATAGAGACTGATAGAGACAGATAGAGACAGATAGAGACAGGTAGAGACAGGTAGAGACAGGTAGAGACAGGTAGAGACAGGTAGAGACTGTATTAATGTCAAACTTTTAAAAGTTCTGAAGCTGAAATCATTGATTCAAATACACGTGTGTGTGTGTGTGTGTGTGTGTGTGTGTGTGTGTGTGTGTGTGTGTGTGTGTGTGTGTGTGTGTGTGTGTAAAGTGGGGCACTGACTAAAAACCAGAGTCAGTAGTCCACCAGGAGAGTAGGGGAAGTCCCTGCGTATGATTGGTTTAGGAGCTGGGGAACATGATGATGTCAGAGTGATGTCACAGGAATAACTGCTGACCCTATCAACATATTTACATTCTATCAGAGCTGTTAGCGTTAGCCTCCTGGCTAACATTAGCCAGGAGGCAAACACATAAAATGTGTTTGTTGCTTTAAATAAGGATGGACCATGTTTTTTTGCTGACCTCAGAGCATCAGTGTCTCTCTTTCTGTATTCCTGTTTTAATCCTACAAGCCGAGTCAGGGTCAAGGGTCAAGGGTCACAAGTGAGCCACGGCTAGAGACCCGTATGCATGGCATCTAAACACGCCTCTTACGGATTGTGAAGGCAAGATCAACGGCAGCTTTTCTAAATCTGTCGTGATGATCCTCGTCACGTTAGCTTCACGTTAACGTGGCTAAAAGGTGATTAAACCGGTGAAACAAAGAAGAACATGAAGCTTCCAGTGATGCTGAGAGAGATTTTATTCAAACAAACACAGAAATAACTTAAGTTTAAATTA